AGGTGGCACTGTAGGGTTCCCCCTGCAGTTGCACACCTGTTGGTCGTTATGTAATTGCTTTAAAAGGTCATGCTTGTTCCTGTCATGTTTTTGGTCATGTTTCTGTTATTGAGAGTTTTTAGCTTCTGCCATGGTTTTTTTTTTGCTACTTTGGATTTGTTTTGTTCTTAGGACTTTGTTTTGGATTTAGTTTTCTGTGTTTTATCAATACACTTCTTCAAGTACAACCTGCTCCTCCCTCCTGCCTGCTTTTTGGGGTCCACCACCACCTTGCAACGTGACAATGCCAGCCATCTCGTTACCTCTGCATCCCGCGTCCTAGACGCATAATTTTCCCGTGGGACGCACAGTTCCAAATAATGTGAGTTTTTGGGATGCAAGGAATTTTCTCAGTCAAAACAAAAAAAAAAACTACGGTACATCTTTTTTTCCAGCAACGATCACAGTTTGACAAACACCGCCATTGTTGTTTGTTGTAATCTCGCGTGACGAGATTTCCATTCTCGCGAGACGAGATTGGCGAGATCGGCAGACGATTGCCAAGTTGTGTCACGTTAAAACAAGTGTTGCGAACAAGTGTAGTGAAAGTTTATTGCGGAGATATCACAGAAGAAGCAGCTAAAGTTGGATACTTTTTGCGATAATAAGGTGAGTTTGAGAAAGCCCTAGCATCATTGGAAGCAGAGTAAAAAGAGGAGAATTTATGAACTCAAAGACTGAACCATGGGATGACATAAGAACCTATTTCTCAGCAAATCCTGTATGCCGGAATTATTTAATTTTTTGCAGCATTTCTTTATAACAAATAAACCTATTATCAATGTATATTGTTGTTGTTTCTGTTATATATTTATATGCAATTGAATAAGTAGACCATTTCAGAATTCGAAATTTGGGACTCTCTAAATGCATCATGGGACTCATACTTCTCTGATCAGCAAGTCCCTGGGATTCACAGGGCTCAAACTGTAAAATTATCACTGAAATACAAACTGCACACAATATTTAATGTATACTGCTCTCAGGCAGTACTCAAAAATGTATTATCTTTGTCAGGCTGCCACTTTCTTTCTTCACTGAGTGCTTTGGTGACTTATTGATTCATGAAAGTGATGCAAAATAAAATTATAGAGCAATTAGTCTGTCCGTTTCAAGAAAAATTATCAATATGCGCCTGTTTCTCAATTTAATGTTCTATTCTATGTTTAGAGCACTAAAAGCCTGAAACATAATCTAGGCCAATGTGTCAGTCAAATTCATTTTCACCTCAATTGTTCTCTCATTGGGATTTGTGGCAACCCATGCTGAACGTTTCGCACATTCAAGGAACTGTCATTCTGTAACTGTACATAGGAATGTTATTTTTATAAAAAATTTTCAGGTTCAATGTAAATGTTATCTACGTAACATGTGTACAAACAGACCTCTTTCCTGTGTGAAATTGCATTCTGCATAAAAAGCCACATCCAGATAGGAGATGGCACAAATAGGCACACATGGGTCAGATTTGGACTTTGAGGCAAACTTATGTTGCAAATCGCTTGCATACACGGTGACCTGTACCTCCGAAAGAGTTCATTGTTTTTTTTTTTAAGGCTTTTACATACAATGTAATGCATTTCAGTAGAATTCTCTGTTGAATCCCCCAATTCACATTGGCAGCTTTTTTATCTGAAGTTTTACATCATCGCTGTCATCAGTGTCAGAAGTGCTCCACTGAGCCCAATCATCCTGTCAACAATTAAATAAGGGACATCTGTCCAGCCTCCACTGTCTCGTTTTAGCGCCATCCTTCTGGCCCTCATTATAAATGTTACCGGAACAAAGGCTCATGTAAAATATTACAAACTGAAACAAAGAGGTGCTACAGAAATAAACACTTCAACGCTTCATTGGGTGCATCTATTGAGATCCAATTAGGAACTGTATAAAAATAAGAAACAAGCACAGTTTCAACTGTTCTGTCTTAATGATTGAACACTACAATACTCATACTTTTCCAGTTCAACCCCACAATCCCAGAGGCTTTTTTCCTTCTCATATGGCTATAAATGTTACTAGCTGCTCTACGTGACATGACGTAATAATTGTCTAAACTCTTATGTCAAATTGGTCTAAGGTTAATTAAAAAATATAGTCCAAGTTTGAGTTTCATTCCAGTTAAATGAGGCACAACTGAAAGGAACTAAATATTGCTCTTTTTTTTAATTATTGTCAGGGACTAACAAAATTCATTTTCAGTCTAATTTTTATTCATGTATTAATAGAAAAATGAAGTTTAGGGATAAAAATGCTTATATTCCACTCATGACACTGATTTGCAGATTCTGAAAGTGGCATTGTCTACATCGTTTTCCAACCTTAAAATGGTTTTAACCTTATGGTTTCGTTTTCCAACCTTAGAATGGTTTTAAACCCCTTATGTTGGTTTTAACAAGCCCCCTGCTTCACTCTTTCTGGATTTGCCTTTTTTTGTAAAGCGAATGGTCTACACCAGGGGTGGCCAATCAGTCAGAGACTAACAGACAATTTTTCTACTGTGTTACTGCAAAGAGCCACACGCACGCACGCACGCACGCACGCACGCGCACACACGCACACACGCACACACACACACACACACACACACACACACACACACACACACACACACACACACACACACACCAAAAA